GTACAAGGAATGGCAGAAGCAGATAATGACTATCGGACAACTATCATGGAGGTAGCTGCAACAGGCAGGAGCGGCCAAGGGATGCAAAGGGCCAGCGAACGCAAGTTTGATATGGAACAGGATTTGGCACAATACTAACCAAATACAAAGGGAAAGACGGTGACCTTGTGGAGAAACCTGGCAGACACCACCTTGAGCAGTCATCAGGGTTCATCACCAGAGATGGGACAGGTGGACCTCATGTGCCTCCTGGTGACTGGGAAGGGTCCAGAGTCATTCCACAGCCTTCCTGCCAGGAGCTGGGCCTGAATCGGCTCATGAAAATAGCAGCAGGACCCAGGTTGAGGGTCTGTCTGCCTCCAGAACAAAAGGCCTGAATTCTTCCATACAAACTTTGATGCAAAGTTCAGCAGGATGTTAAATGAATAAAGCTGTTTCCTTAGCTTAAACAAATAGTATTACACGGGTAAGATGACCACGCGGCTTAGGGCACTCAGGAGCGCCATTTCAGACATGTATCCACTTTTAAGATTACGTTCCCAATGTTTTGCTTCAGAAACTGGGTCAGATATTGAAGAGGGAAGGTTAAGAATTAACACTGAGTAAGAAGAGAAGGAAGATGTTACAGAAGAAAAAACGCTTCTGTGGCAACACATCCGAGGTGTAGTGACAGCTCTGTCTGTACAACTAGCTGTTTAATGTGTGACATTAGCAGATTGTTCTCCATGACTTCTAAAGTCCAGTCTAGCACGAAAATCCACAGATATGCCTATATACATCAGAAATCTCAAGCTTTGACAATATGGAAATGTGCCGTATTAAAAGTCTGGGTGGTTATGCAGGTTTTGTATTTTACGTATTATTATGTATTTTATTTATGTTTGACAAAATGCTTGAATTTACTACCAGACTGAGCATCCCAAATAACGCCTTCAGGATTAGAGGCCGTGCTACTTCCAGCAGGTGTGGGCAACCCCAGTGCACTGCCCCACACTAAAGGAACACTGAATGGGGAGTCCTAGGGCTAAATTTACAGAAGTGTAAGCTTCTAGCTCCCCCTCCTGGCCACTGCCACATTTCTTTTTAATTTTCACTGTTAACCTAATCATTTGACTAGAATTTTCATTCTTTCTATTTTCATAAAACTGTACTAACATACCCCACATTTCATAGATCTTACACATTAGAATGTTCATTTCATTCATTTTTCCAACACATATTTAGGTGCTTACCGTGTGCTAGGATCTGTGGTAGGTGTGGGGGAATACAGTGAACACAAACAGAAACGTTTGTTCTTGTGGAGCTTCTATGTCAGGAATAAAATAATCACAGTAATGGCTATTGTGTGGTAATGGAAAGAGAGACCAGTCTCTGAGGACATATGACAAAGAATCTGGCCTAGGCAGTGCCCTGGGAAGTAAGTTCTCCTATGGAAGCACCATCTGAGTTGAGATATGAAGAGTCAGTGGGAACTAACTCGGCAGAGGAATGGGGGTAGGAAGAACACTGCGGACGGACAGAGAAGCCGGTGCCAAGGCCTGGTGGGTGGAGGAGGCCTGGGTGCTGGGGCCCAGTCACAAGGGCCAGACGGTTCTCCAGACATGGGTGGCGGTGAGTACCCGCAGCAGCATAGAACGGCATGTTTATGGTTGGAATCATCAATGCGAGCGCAATGGGAAGCTGGCAGTGGGCACAAGAGGGAGGCCGGGGAGGGGATGCCATGATCAGCTCCGCCTTCTGAAGAGCTTCCTCTGGCGGCAGAGTAGAGAACAGCACAGAGAGAAGCCAGACCGCAGAGGACTGCGGAAGGCTGGATGGAGGAAGGCGGTAGCTCAGACTAAGGTACCAGTGACGATGGAGAGATGTGAAAGGTGTACAGGAAACAACGTCCCCGGGGCTTGGTGGTCCACTGGGTGCTGGGGTGAGGGAGAGGTCAAGAAGGAATCCCAGTTTCCGATGGCAGAGGTCCCAGTGGGGCGGGGTGGTAGGAGACTGTTCGGTCTTGTGTGTGCTGAGTTGGAGGCAATGCCATTCAGCTGGCTGGACATAAGGGTCTAGCTCAGGACAGAAGGCCAGGTTGGACTGACAAGGTGGGAGTAAGAGCGTATAGATGGAGGGCATGTATTTGTGCCTAATGTCAATGGAGATGGAGCGGCTGATTGTGCAGGTGAGAGAATGGAGAGCAGCGTGGGGTTTTTGACAAGCGGGAGGGGAATGAGATGAAAGCACAGGGCACATGGCCTGGAACAGGAGGAGGGGAGAATAAGCTGAGTACAGTACAGTAAGTCCCCGACTTACGAACATTCAAGTTGCGAACTTCCACAGATATGAACGGACCTCGCGTTACAAACGTTCGTAGATGCGAACAAACCGCGGAAGTAGTTCAAGCATCTGCCGGGCATTGTCACAGCTGTGCTGCTGTGTGCTTACTGTACAGTGCGACAGTGTACAGTAGTACAGTGCTCAGTCAGAGCCCAGGCTGTCCGGGAGCAAGAGGACAAGCAGAGCCGATGTGGAGGGGACTGCTGGGAAGTGTCAAAGGTGTGTAAGACTCACTTGTCAAGACTTACCAACGAATCTGAATTACGAACGTTCTCCCGGAACGGAACTCGTTCGTAAGTCGGGGACTTACTGTATAGGAAAGGCTTGTAGTTCCGGTAGCTGGAGAAAGAGGCGATTCCCATCAGAGAACTTTAAGTTCCTGTATGAAGTGATAGCACGAGGGGCAGATGGGAGATGAAGCTTGAGTGAGGTGGAGGTTGATAATCTGTTACATCCCATAGACACTCTGTAAGTTGCAGCAATCCTACTATGTTACTTTGGTCAACTGGGGTTTCACTTCATGGAAAAGAGAGAAAACATGGGGGCTGGGGCTTTGAATTTGCAAGGGTACAGGCACGTCGGGGCCATTGGCTCCCTGAGGGCAGGGACCTTGTCATAGCCATCGCTGCATCACTCTGTGACGGACTCGCTAGAGTATCAGTGTCCGGGTCCTAACTATCGAAATGATCAGCAGAAGGACAAGCATTTGTCTCCACTTCAATTTGCCTCTTTTTGTGCTTCCCTAAAAAAGCCGCACAAGAAAGAGCAGGGAACAAACACAGCCCAAATTCCTCCATGACTTCTTTTTCTCACTGGGAAGAAGTCTATGGATTATTTGAGTCTTCTGTCAGTTTTAAAGTTTTTGTCATAGTTCTATCCAGGGACACTGTCTTGTATATCAGAAAGCTAAGGGACACCTTTGAATTTTTAGCTTGTTAGTAATCAGGTGCTTATGTAGCTTTGTCTGCCTGGTTTAAAAGTTGTGCTTCTCAAAATATTGGGTCGTCGGGAAAGTCATGACATATTTTTCTATGTTTTTCAATGCAAAACGCGTCTTGACTTTCCCGTCGATCCCAATATGTACTAAAAATATTGTATTTTTATCTATAAAATTCATGCCCATTTCCCCCCCCCCTAAACTTATCCCCCTCCAAGTAACGGAGGAAAGGGAAAGAGCTGTCTGTACTCAGGCAGAGAGGGTACAAGGAGAGAGCCCGATTAGAAGGCCCCCGAAATAACCCAGGAACCCGGTGACTGATGGTGGGCCAGGGTGCTGATAGTGGGGGTTGGGCGCAATGGTAGGCTTGTGCATCTATTCTGGGTACATTCTGAAGGATGTGTTGACAGAATGAATGCGGGGAGGAAGAAAAACAGAAGTCAAGGAAGACAGCAAGGTCTGGACAACTGGGAGGATGGTTTCCAGTAACTGCGGTGGGTAATGTTAGGAGCAGGTCTGGGCTGCTGCGTTGGAAATGCCTTACACATCTAAGCAGAGAGGGGGCGGGGGGCAGGCAGCTGAGTACAGGGGTCTCAAGTTCAGAGGAGGGTCAGGGCTGGAGGCATGTTCAGGGCGCACTGACATTTAGATGGGGAGTGAATGTAGATAGAAAAAAGGTTCAAGGTTGTGTTCAGCAGGGAAAAACTGGTCTGAAACACGTTACCTGTGGGCACAAGTGTGGCACTGAGATGGTAAAGCACGAAAGGGGCATCGTGGACAAACAGCTCCAAGGCTGAGCGGGTGAGGAACACACAAACCGACATTTCAAAGCATTCCGATTTCCACCGGCTGGGGATGGGGAAATGTCAGCGCTGAGGTTACACGGAAAAAACAAAACAAGAGCAAATGCAAGTAGGTAGGTGCAAAACTGAAGGTAACAGGCTCAGATGTAAAAGAAAAATATCGGCGAAAACCTACGAGTGGGAGGAGGAATGAAATGCGTCCTCGTGCGACCGGGGTGACTGGCGGCTGCCCGAAGGCCTGGCCCTGTCCCCTGGCCGAGTGCCCCCAGCGGCCCGTCAGCGAGCTGGCGGGTTGCCCGGCGGAGCAGCGTGGCCCTGCGAGTGTGTTGCGCGGGCGCAGTCACTCTCCGGGCAGCGGAGGGGCGCGCCGAGGGCGGCTCTTCACCAGGCTTTGCAGGAGCAGGCGGTCGGCCCACCTGGCTACGTTACCAACTACAGTGACAGCGAGGCACCGGGGCCCGAGATGCGCAGGGGCGAGGGCTGAGCGACCGGGCGACACAGGAAGGCCCGGAAAGTTTGGCAGGAGGGTCCGGCTGGAGCCGGGCCGGGGCTTTGGGCTGCAAGGGGCGGCGGCGGCGGCGGCGGCGGCGGCGGCGGCGGGGCCGTTACCTGCTCGGCGCGGCTTCCGCAGCAGTGCCAACCTCGCGGCCTCGTGACGCAGACGCGTCGCCCTGGAAACCCGCCCGCGGGGCCTCCTGGGACGGGCGGCCCGGCGGGACGAGAGGAACCAGGGGGCGGGGCCGCGAGGTCGTCGCACGTGCGCACTCGGGGCCGCGTCTCGTCGGCCGGGAGACGGGCGCCCTGGGCCGTGATGTGAGTCAGGCCCCCCGTTTCTCCGTGAGGGCGAAGTGCGATGTGTCTGTGGACGTCTGTAAGGAGGCCGCCCGCTCTCCCTGCTCGGCTCCCGGGCCGCCTTGGGGGGCGAACGAGCCGCTCCCGCGCCGCCCCCGCGGGCGCGAATGTCCCGCCGTTCCGTCCCGCGCTCAGTGGTTCTCGCCCACGCGCCGGGAGGTTTGATCCGGAATCGACTGCGCGAGTCTAGTTCTCTGCGTGGGAGGGGCGTCGACCGAGAGCGGAGCGCTCCCTGGAGGGCGCTAAGGCGGGCGTGCGTGGATCCCGGATTTCCCCAGGAGGAGGGGGACCTAGGCGGGCAGGTGTGGACGCCCGGCTCCTTCGGGGGGGAGCGTGGACGCCCGGGCCCTGCCGGTTACCCTCTCTTTCATGAAGTTGGGTTTCTTTGGAGAAAGGACATCTGACCACAGAGCAAATGCGTGTTTGGTGTAGAGAATTCAGAGTGAACAGGAAAGTGCCCAGAAAAAGTAAAAATCACCTAGATGATGGAATGCATAATTAACGAACATTTATAATATTTCTTCTCCTCCTCTTCCTCCCTTCATCCCTCCTCCCCCCGTTGTATCAGTGCCTTGTATCCTTGTAGATGAATCTTGAAGTCGCCCTTGACTGTTTCTCGGGATAAATTCCTACCTGAGAAGTTCAAGGATCAAAGGCTATGCCTTTGAGGCTTCCTGAAGGCAGAGGAAAGAAAGCTTGCCTTCTAGGCTAGCGTCTCCTATCCTTAACCTACATTGGGGATAATCTTCTTTCTTTTTTAAAATGCCCATTTTATTGTCAGAAATGGACATCTTTGATTTTATTCACTTCTTTGATTACTAGGCAGGATAGACATTTTTTCATATTTTTAGTGACCATTTGTACATACTTTGTGATTCGCCTTTTCTGGCCTTTTGCCCGTTTTTTTTTTTTTTCACTTGGTGTTCATCTTTGTAAAAAAAAATGATTTGTTAGAATGTTTGATGTTCTGTGAAAAGGTCTGTGATGTGTGTTGCAAAAAGTTCCTCCAGTTTGTCAATTACCTTTTAATTTTGTTTACAATGTATTTTGATACTTGTGTAGAGTTAAATTTATCACGTTTTCCCTTTATGGTTTTTTCAGCTTCCTCTTAGCTTTCTGCCAATCAATTTTTAGGAATGAGACAAAAACAGTTTTATTTTTGGATCACAGTACATTTTTTTCTCCTGTGTCAATAATTACGTGTGATAAACACATTGATGGAACTAATAAGCAATTCTTATTTTCATAGAAAACTAATCATCGTTTTTTCTATCACCTTCAATGACTTATAGAACATTTCATCCCCTTAGGTAATTTTGATAGTCATAGAAATTACTTTTAAACACCTTTATGTGTTTTCTTTTTAAAAATATACCATTTTCACGAATACTTTCTTAAACTATCTACACGTGCTAATTAATACTTGTGCTGGATATGTCTTATGGTTTCTAATGAAAATATTTTGCTTACTGTCAGAGTGCCTGCCCTCAGTTTCGTGGGCTTTGTGTTTCTACAATCTTTGGTGGTGACTTATCCTTATCAGATGGGTGGTGATTGTTTTTGTTGTTGGCGAGCATCAACTGGCATCCTAGATTTGATATTTATGGAAAGATGGCTGGTTCGCGGCTGGTGGTCCTCCCAGGACAGTAACAAAATCAGCAGCTCATTGTGAAGGGGTCATTCTAACCCTAGTTCTCAGGACTGGAGGGAGGAACGTGAGAGATGGAGGTTCCTTAGAACTTTCTTTCCCACCCGAATGGTCTCTCCCTCTCTCTTTTCTGAGCTCTCCCCAGTCTATAGCCTTTGGTTCTGCCTTTAAAAGGGGTGCTTCCTTCTCATATGGAAGGGAGAGAGGCCCTTGTGGTACAAAGTTGAAGAACTGCCTTTTTTTTTTTATTAAATATTTTTTATTATGAAATACACATTTTTTAGAATTAGTTTCAGCTGTACAACACAGTGCAATAGTTACCCTTTTTACCCCTCGAAGTGACAACCCCATCCCCCAATCTGCCGCCCCATTTCCCCCCAATAAGGAACTGCCTTTTAATTATTATGGTGGTCACTGCCATCATGCCAAATACTGAACGTAATGCACTTACTTCTCTGTATTAGTTTCCTAAGGCTGTTGTAACAAATTACCACAGATTGGGGTTCGGGGTGGCTTACAAAGAGGTTGGACAATTAAGTTCGCAAACTTCTTGCAACGATGTTGCTAACCTTTTTTGATATCAGAGGGATGATTCATTATGAATTTGTACCAACTGGACAAACAGTTAACCAAGTTTACTATTTGGAAGTGCTGAAAAGGCTGTGTGAAAAAGTTAGACGACCTGAACTTTTCGCCCACAATTCATGGCTCTCTCATCACGACAATGCACCAGCTCACACGGCACTGTCTGTGAGGGAGTTTTTAGCCAATAAACAAATAACTGTATTGAAACACTCTCCCTGCTCACCTGATCTGGCCCCAATGACTTCTTTCTTTACCCGAAGATAAAGGGAATATTGAAAGGAAGACATTTTGATGACATTCAGGACATCAAGGGTAATATGACTACAGCTCTGATGGCCATTCCAGAAAAAGAGTTCCAAAATTGCTTTGAAGGGTGGACTAAGCACTGGTGACGGTGCATAGCTTCCCAAGGGGAGCACTTCGAGGGTGACCGTAGTGATATTCAGCAAGGAGCTATGTGGCACTTTTTCTAGGGTGAGTTCGCGAACTTAATTGTCTGACCTCGTAAAACAACCGAAATTTATTCTCACACAGTTGTGGAGGCCAGAAATCTGAAGTCAAGGGCCCTGTTCCTTGGCTTGTGGCAGCATCACTCTAACCTCTGCCTCTGTGTTCACGTGGTGTTTTTCTCTGTGTCTCCTTTTCTTTTTCTTTTTCTATTTTTTTTTTTTTTAGCTGAGCCATCCTGCCACCTGTTGGCAGCTCAGCAGCAGCTCAGCTTGGGCCGGACTCAAAACGCTGTTGTTCAGAGTCAAACCTTTGAGCGAGCTCTTAACCAACTGAGCCACTCAGCTGGCCCTGTGTCTCCTTTTCTTACAAGGACATCAGTTATCCGAAATCTAGGATGATTTCATCTCAAGATCCTCAACTAATTTCATCTGCCAAGAACCTGTTTCCAAATAAAGTCGCATTCTGAGGTTTTCGGTAAACGTGAATTTTTTGGGGACGCTCTTCAAGCAGTTACTGTGGCTGTCACCACTGTCGTTCTACATAATAAAAATATGCCTTTATTTCTCATTTTAGGTTACCCATGAAGTTATGTAAACCTAAACACAGCATACATTTGGGAAAACGTTAATTGTCTCCACCAAGGGCCTTCTTTGGGGAGTAAACTTTTCATGCTGACGGTCTACTTCCCTTGTGGGGGAGTCACCTGAGTCATTCATCTTGTGTAAATGAATGTGAGCTACATTCCAGGGACAGGGTGTCCTTTCTCATGGAAGGCACCTGCCTGGGTGGGAGGGAGCAGGCCTTGGGGACTGGTGACGGGACTGGTGCACAAGCTGGACAGATCCCTCCCTGCTCTGGATGCCAGTGCCACCTCCTCCACGAGGAGCAGAGCCGGGGACTTTAAAAATAGGAGAGAGACTCAGTTATCTAAGAGAACTGAATATCCCCCCAGGGGGCCTTTGCCCCTAATGCCCTTGACCTTGATGTCGAATCCCATTAGAAGAGTTGGGCTGCTAGCATTTGGGCTTACTTGATTTTGAGCACAATTCAAATTACCTGTATAAATAAGACAGATAGAGCCCGTTACAGACAGATCATTTTCCCCGTCTCTAACACAGTGAGGACAATTTGCTCGTTGAAGTTACTGTACTGACACGCCAGCCGCTGTCTCACTGCCTTGTCCCCGATGTCAGTGAAATCTTACCGTCCACCACCTGTCAGTTTCTGTTCTTTAAGAGAAACAGGTGGTAAATAGAGAAACTGGGAACAGGCCACTCATAAAGGAACCTGTTGTATGACAATTCACTGATTAAAAAAAAAAATCTGCCAGAAAATTTTAAAGTAAGGAAGCCACTCTTTATTTAAGGGACTTCGTGACTGTCCTGCCGCTTCCCGTTTGTTTGCCAGCGGCCCTGTAATCAGAGCCCCCGCTGGGCCTGAGAGGGTGTGTTCCGGGCTTTTCCGGCTCCTCCTGGCCCCACCTCCACGCCCCGCCTCTGTCACCCCAAGGCATCTCTCCGCGGGGCTCTGATTGGTGCGCCCCGCAGCCTCGCCTTTTAGGGACTGTTGTCCGGCATTTGAAGTGATAAGGGAAAGGGTCCAGGGACCGCTTTTATCAACCAATCAAGTATTTTCCTGACAGGTCCCCAAACATTTCTGGGCCAATGGAGGGGACCGCCCGAGATGCCTGGGCCGCTCCTGCGAGAGGCAGGGCTTACGTTGACGGAGGGGCAGGAGCCCAGAGGAGCGCTGGGGCCCGGCCAGCCCCGCCTGGCACATGCTCGGCTGTGTCATTGTCAGGATTTGTCTAGCGCTGCGTTCCTTCACAGGGGTGTGTTAGGGGGAGGCCTCTTTCCGACTATCAAAATGGTTATCAAAGTGTTTGTTGCCACATCTTCTGGGTCCATAGCGGTAGGTGTCTGATGGAATTTGTGGGCTTTCTTCCTATCCAATTTTCTGGTTAACTCAGACTTGGAAGTAGCAGGAGCGGGTATGGCCCAGCGCTGGCCTTAAATTTCTTTTTGAGGAGTGTGTAAGTACGTAAACTGTGGCCCTGCGGTGAGCCTGTGTGCGCTTTGCTTTTCTGCGTTTGTTTTCATGGTGTTGAAGTGGATGAAGTGTAAGCTGGGTGTGAAAGGGGACATGAGGAAGGGGGCGTGTTTGATACTAGAATCTTTAACGTGATTTGTGCCATGTTGTGTAGCATATATTATCGAATCAGAGACTTTTTTGTGGAGTGTTTCTGCCATTCATTCTGCAAGATTTAGACTATAAAATTTGCAAATAAATGACACTTTGTGTAACAATGTTTGGAGAAGAACCAGATTACTAAAAGGACTCCTGGGTGTAATTACTTGAATATGCAATGTAACCGTACCAAAAGTGTAAAGTTAGCATGTGTAATACTATTATTTGAGGAAAATGATGTCACAGTGACAAGAACAAACATCTCTCAGGCCACAGTTTGAAATGCTCTAGGAATCCAAACAGACCAAAAATAGGGACTAGAAGCTGCCCCCCTTAACATTGCTTTGTCTGATTTCCTCGGGACGAGGCTCGGAATTATCCATCCACCTCTCTGACTCCAGCCTTCCTTCTGGGCAAGATAGACCTGCATTCAGATACGGGGAACAGAGGGATGCTTCGGGCTTTGACTTCAGCAGCATTTTAGCAGAAGTTAGGGAGGCTATGGAGAGAAAACAGTTTTATGAGTCCTGGGCGTTGGAGACCAGTGAGGGGGCTGTTTCCTTTAACAGTATATCCAGGTCCTGGACCATCTCAGATGGTGGCTAGGATTCCAGTGGTCACTCTGCTAGCTATGATGATACCCTAGGTGAGCCACTGGCAGGGGACAGTTCCAACTGTTGTTTGAGTGCAACCACTCCCAGCCCTGAAAGTTCATGTGGTTTCCAGAGAGAGCGAGAGGAAAACAAGAGAAAAGAGCCCGGGTGTCCCTTCTGAGCCCAACTGATCAGCTACTGTCTAATGATTTTTAGAACATCTCTTTAAAGAACAAGATGAGGAAAAATTCCAAATGTAAAAACTGCAAAATCTTTCGTGGTTGTTGATGAGCTCAGAAAATTTTAGTTGATCTACAATAAGCACACATTTTTGGATTATTTACGTTAAAAAATAATTTTTATGTAAAATATAATTTTAGGTTTTAGTGGGCTTTAAGCATGCTGCTGATGTTCGTTGCTGGAAATTTTGACCACTCACCTGCCAATCTTCTACATATTCTGTAGACCAGGTGGGAGTGGCCCCAAGCATCCTTCCAGAGACAATGAATAACTATGGATTTCTCAGGATTATTTGATGTTCTGCATTCCTGAAGTTTGGGAGCTTGATTTACTTAGCCTCAGAGGACCTGGACGGATGGTTCATTCCAGGATCTTGGAAAAGCTGATCGGTTCTGGTTCCCTAAGCAAGTGTTTTGGTGCCCCTTGGAATTGTGTGACCTTGGGAAAGTTATGTCACCTTGCTAAGCCTCAATTTCCTTATCTGTAAAATGAGCATAAGGCTAGTCCTCATCTCACAGGTTGTCACGAGGACTTAGGAAAGAACATGCGTGGGTGCCTGGTGTCAAGTGCTTAATCAGTGCTTAGGAAATATTATAATTATTAGTTAATGTAGTTATTAGCTCTGGTTAGTTAATATTATAATTGTTATAACTAGTGGTTATTATAATTGTTAATATTAATCAATATTATTGTGATGGTTATAATTAGTTAATATTAGTAGATCTCAGTCTGGGATGATTAGGTTTCAGGAGAATTGTCCCAAGCCACAAAAATGGAAGTATTTCTGTCTTATCCTGAAGAATAAGAACTGATTATTTCTGTGGCGTCCGTGCTAATGATTTTTCCTGGGTGAGGGACTTTCACCCAGAAGCTTCTTTGCCGGGGAACCTCAGGGCAGCTGCCAGAACTTATGCTGTGTGAGCAGTGCTGGTCTGTAAAACCTCTACTATGCATTTCTTTAGTCTGTATACTTTAAAAATGGGGTCTAGCCTGTGACCTAGTTAACGAGGGCATCATGACTTCTGTTGGTGGGTGAAATAAATGCAAAAGGAGAAAACAAATTGTGATCTATGGGGGTCACACGTATGCACTGTGTATCACGTCTCTGTTTTAACA